GTGATTCAATCGTATGCACAGTTGTTCTTAGTGGATATCATGTGATCTATACCACATGAATACTGCAAGTATATCACTCTTCAATATATTTTGAAATAACCTGATTTATGTATTGTTCTGCATTTTTTGGTTAATGGAAGCTGATATACTACTTTTAGCTAGGTTGGATGACTCAGATATGGCTAAAATTGGAACTATGCTTCATTGTTTTAATAGGGGAAGAGGTTGACAACTATAAGATTTTGTGGGTTAATGATGAGATGCATTACATATGCATTTACCTTCAAAGTTAATGTATACATTATCAAAGTTTTAAATACACTTCATTTGATAACCATATTTTCCCTTCAGACTCATACTATTAACCAAAGGTATAATGGAAGAAAAAGCAGGTAAGCTTAAAACGTTATGGCAAATTCACTTCTTCTTTATAGGATATAAAATAATACCTGTGGCACTTGTGCGCCAATTAAAACAGTGAGATTATTGCCCACGCCCTTTAAGATATAAGCAAGCATGCTCACTGTAGTGCTTTTCCCTAAAAATAAATGACCCTCCTAAACATAAGTGAACATCAAGCACTCAAAATAGTATTGCACTATTTCTAAACAAAATTCTAGACAAAGTCCATCAACCATGGCGTAATCCACTTCCAGTAGGCTTCCCATTTCAGAATGCTACTATGATAAATGCGGATTGGGAGCATGTAAAACTCCTCATACTGAGAGCCTTTCTTCACCACAAAAGTTACATATAAATGTGTGTACTCATTGACAATAATACAATCAGATATATATATCTATCACCATGAAAAAAAATCCCAATTTCTAGTACTCAAGTGCTAAATTTAATTTGCTCTCTTCAAGATGAAACAATCCTTCTTGTCGAGCTACTTCTTCGAAGCCACGGTTCATTATCCAGGGCCGCCTTGTTCGGGAAAATGTAGATAGTAGTATGGAACTGAATGACCTATTGTAGAATATGAACATAAACACACGCATACTAAAAAATCAAATGGAATTGGAAAGATTTAAACATGTGTAAACCTTGAGAAGTAAATATGAGATTTGTTGACGTTGGACGGACCAAACTCGAGGTCGGCAAGTGTTGCGGGTAAGCATGACTTTTTTGTGACGCCCTACATCGAACAATAACTTAATAATTGGTTTCACACAAAAAATCATAATAAATTAAATCACTAAATATACTAATCAACTATAGTTGTGAATAAGAAAATGGTGTCTACTAAATATTGTTAGGACGCTTGAACAATGGGTACAACCATTGTCGAATTACTGTGACTCGTCGTTGGCCTCTTTCCTTTGGTAGAAGTCTACACGTAAACATGTATTACATATATGTTGTAGTGGAATATTGGTAAATTAACAAAAAGACTGACCAACATACCTTTGTTTTCTTTGAAGAGGACTCCAACGAACTTTTCTTCCAAAGCTTCTTTGGTACGCCCTTCCTCTTAGTTGATATAAGATCCCGTACGCACCCGTTGGCATTGTCTCTGGATTAGTTGCACAGCTAGGCAAATTAACTACCAACATGTGAAATAATATTACTCCCACTATTTGACTTTATCGTGAGCAGCTCTTGTTTTTGATTTATTATCCACTCCTTTATCGCATGGGACCACACTTCATCATCGGCAGCGAGGTTTGCAACCTCCACAAAAGTTCGACACATATCGTCGTATCTCAGTTGTTCTAGAGTACTTACCAAATCATCGTAGTTCACTGTGACCCTGGTATGTGCTCTACAAACATCTCTCTTCCATTGCTGTAGTATATACCTCTTAGGCAGTGACATGAAATCGTTAGGATCAATACCA